GGGCAATGAAACCATCGCACGCTGCCCGGATGCTGCTCTGCGGTATTTTGGCCCATTCCCGGCAAAGCGCTTGCTTGAGGTGTTCGACACTTTGGTATTCTTTAGTGCCAACCTTGCCTTTCAAAATACTCCAGACACAATAGTCCAACGGATTGGTCTCCGGCGGTTTTTGGTGGCCATTGTGCGCAGGAAATGAAGCGGGGAACCTCATTTTGTAACCATTCTTGGGTGGCGCATGCTGACTGCGATGGTGCTGAATCCTGCTGGAATGTCCAAGGTCTGCGGCCAAAATGTTTGCGCGACCAAGGCTTTAATAACCCTCCAGAATATTTATGCAATAATATTCGGCATTTATTCTGATGCCACGGTCGATTATTACGAGCGGAGAGCGCATATCGGCTGTTATTTTGTAATCATTCCTGGATGGCGCGTGCTGACTGCGGTGGTGCTGAATCCTGTTGGAATGTTCAAGGTCTGCGGTCAAAATGTTTGTGTGGCCAAGGCTTTAATAACCTTCCAGAATATTTTCGCGATAAAATTCGGTACTTGTTCTGATGCCACGGTCGATTAATACGAGCGGAGAGCGACCAGCGGCTATTATGGCGGCCCACACCATCACCATGGCCGGCGCTTGAGTTCTGGCGGCCAACCGAAGGTGCACATTTTCAGCTAACCTCTTTTTGCAAGTAAACACGATCATTTAGTTTGTTTACAAACTGCTGGACAACGAATGCTTTCTCATCAAAACCAAGTTCGGCAGTTCACCACTTTCGGCCAAGCGAAGCAACTCTTTAGGTTCTTTGAGTCTATTTTCTTTCTGTTGCGGTGTAAGTTCTTGCACTTTTTGGAATTTCAATGGCTTTACCCCGAGCTCATTTTTCAATATTTGCCGAATGAAATTTGGCGATATGTTCAGCTCACGAGCCATTTTTCGGCCACTGCGACGCGGATTTCGATGAAGTCTCTTCTTTACTTTTCGAACCATTTCTGCTGATGTTGCTGTTTTCTTCCGTCCACTTCCTTGACGTCGGGCTACGCTACCAGTATCAAGGTAACAAGCGATGGTACAAGACACAAAAGATTTATTCCCATTTAAATGCTGGAGAGCTCTAACGATAGCCCCTTGTGGTTTTCCAGCCAAATATAAAGAAATCACACTATCACGATTGAACGCCATCACGAATAACATTCATTCTGGAAAATTCTCGCCAAAAAGCTTTTGTACGCTTGTAAACAATATAATGAGCTGTCACTGAAATAACTTTAACAGCTGTCGGACGAGTGGCTTAGAAATGACAGCAGTCTGAAGTTGGCTGCAATTTTTTCATCAGACGCTTCATATTTTCGCTTCTAGGACTCAATTCTGAAATATATTCATTTCACATCCTTAACTCTGTCAACTTTACGAACAAAATCCTACAACCACATCCTCACTCCTTCAAAACCAAAACAAACTACTTCATTTACCCAAAAAAAAAAAACTCTACTCTTCCACAACATCCCACTCCTTTAAAACTCCACAACTCACTTCAAATGGCTCTAACAACGAAACCATCAAACATCCTTTAAACAACAAACCTGCAAACCATTTCAAATAAAAATAGTCTCAAAACAATAGCTTTTAGCCTATTTTCTAAAGTCTCCAGAAAACTACAACGCCACCAACATCCCGCAACATTAAAGTTACGGATGCCAGACATCAAAAAATGACCAGACGCCGCCGTCTAAAACTGGTCACCCATTTGGATGAATGGTTGACAATGCAAGGTGCAACAAACGAAACGAGAGGAAGGGAAACTTTGTAGACATTTTCAAGTGTTCCCACTTCACAAAGTCTAAACAAAAAGCGAACAACAACAAAAACACATTTGCTGTAAAAATATTTCCGCGACATTAACGTTTTGCTGGCAAATGCTGTCAACAGCCAAGAGGATATTTTTAGAAACAATATTGTGATGCAAATATGTGTCATGGACGTCAGCAGTGTTCAGAAATGAATAATTTAAATAAGGAATAGATTTTCAAATTAAAAACCGGTAAAAAAGGACCAGAAAGACTTCTAAGAGAAGAGCTGAAGATCTGCTCATAGAAGACCAGAAGGTCTTCTCACAGAAGAGCTGAGGGTCTCTTCTCACAGAAGGGCTGGAGGTCTCTTCTCACAGAAGAGATGAATCTCTTCTCATAGAAGAGCTGAATCACTTCTTATAGGAGAGCTGAATCTCTTCTCATATAAGAGCTGAATCTCTTCTCATAGAAGAGCTGAATCTCCTCTCATAGAAGAGCTGAATCACTTCTCATAGAAGAGCTGAATCTCTTCCCATAGAAGAGCTGAATCTCTTCTCATAGAAGAGCTGGAGGTCTTCCCATAGAAGAGCTGGAGGTCTTCTCATAGAAGACCTGAAAGTCTTCTCATAAAAGACCAGAAGGTCTTCTCAAAGAAGACCAGAAAGTCTTCTCATAGAAGACCTGGAGGTCTTCTCATAGAAGACCTGTAGGTCTTCTCATAGAAGACCTGGACCTCCAGGTCTTCTATGATAAGAGCTCCAGGTCTTCTCATAGAAGAACTAAAGAAGATCTTCTCATAGAAGAGCTGAAGAAGGTCTTCTCATAGAAGAGCTGCAGAAGGTCTTCTCATAGAAGAGCTGCAGAAGGTCTTCTCATAGAAGAGCTGCAGAAGGACTTCTCGTAGAAGAGCTGCAGAAGGTCTTCTCATAGAAGAGCTGCAGAAGGTCTTTTCATAGAAGAGCTGCAGAAGGTCTTCTCATAGAAGAGCTGAAGAAGGTCTTCTCATAGAAGAGCTGAAGAAGGTCTTCTCATAGAAGAGCTGAAGAAGGTCTTCTCATAGAAGAGCTGAAGAAGGTCTTCTCATAGAATAGCTGAAGAAGATCTTCTCATAGAAGAACTGAAAAAGGTCTTCTCATAGAAGAGCTGCAGAAGGTCTCTTCTCATAGAAGAGCTGCAGAAGGTCTCTTCTCATAGAAGAGCTGCAGAAGGTCTCTTCTCATAGAAGAGCTGCAGAAGGTCTCTTCTCATAGAAGAGCTGCAGAAGGTCTCTTCTCATAGAAGAGCTGCAGAAGGTCTTCTCATAGAAGAGCTGCAGAAGGCCTTCTCATAGAAGAGCTGCAGAAGGTCTTCTCATAGAAGAGCTGCAGAAGGCCTTCTCATAGAAGAGCTGCAGAAGGTCTTCTCATAGAAGAGCTGCAGAAGGCCTTCTCATAGAAGAGCTGCAGAAGGTCTTCTCATAGAAGAGCTGCAGAAGGCCTTCTCATAGAAGAGCTGCAGAAGGTCTTCTCATAGAAGAGCTGCAGAAGGCCTTCTCATAGAAGAGCTGCAGAAGGTCTTCTCATAGAAGAGCTGCAGAAGGTCTTCTCATAGAAGAGCTGCAGAAGGTCTTCTCATAGAAGAGCTGCAGAAGGTCTTCTCATAGAAGAGCTGCAGAAGGTCTTCTCATAGAAGAGCTGCAGAAGGTCTTCTCATAGAAGAGCTGCAGAAGGTCTTCTCATAGAAGAGCTGCAGAAGGTCTTCTCATAGAAGAGCTGCAGAAGGTCTTCTCATAGAAGAGCTGCAGAAGGTCTTCTCATAGAAGAGCTGCAGAAGGTCTTCTCATAGAAGAGCTGCAGAAGGTCTTCTCATAGAAGAGCTGCAGAAGGTCTTCTCATAGAAGAGCTGCAGAAGGTCTTCTCATAGAAGAGCTGCAGAAGGTCTTCTCATAGAAGAGCTGCAGAAGGTCTTCTCATAGAAGAGCTGCAGAAGGTCTTCTCATAGAAGAGCTGCAGAAGGTCTTCTCATAGAAGAGCTGCAGAAGGTCTTCTCATAGAAGAGCTGCAGAAGGTCTTCTCATAGAAGAGCTGCAGAAGGTCTTTTCATAGAAGAGCTGCAGAAGGTCTTTTCATAGAAGAGCTGCAGTAGGCCTTCTCATAGAAGAGCTGAAGAAGGTCTTCTCATAGAAGAGCTGAAGAAGGTCTTCTCATAGAAGAGCTGAAGAAGGTCTTCTCATAGAAGAGCTGAAGAAGGTCTTCTCATAGAAGAGCTGAAGAAGGTCTTCTCATAGATGAGCTGAAGAAGGTCTTCTCATAGAAGAGCTGAAGAAGGTCTTCTCATAGAAGAGCTGAAGAAGGTCTTCTCATAGAAGAGCTGAAGAAGGTCTTCTCATAGAAGAGCTGAAGAAGGTCTTCTCATAGAAGAGCTGAAGAAGGTCTTCTCATAGAAGAGCTGAAGAAGGTCTTCTCATAGAAGAGCTGAAGAAGGTCTTCTCATAGAAGAGCTGAAGAAGGTCATCTCATAGAAGAGCTGAAGAAGGTCATCTCATAGAAGAGCTGAAGAAGGTCATCTCATAGAAGAGCTGAAGAAGGTCATCTCATAGAAGAGGTGAAGAAGGTCATCTCATAGAAGAGCTGAAGAAGGTCTTCTCATAGAAGAGGTGAAGAAGGTCATCTCATAGAAGAGCTGAAGAAGGTCTTCTCATAGAAGAGCTGAAGAAGGTCATCTCATAGAAGACCAGGAAAAGGTCTTCTCAAAAAAGACCAAAAGAAGGTCTTCTCGTAGAATACCAGAAGAAGGTCTTCATAGAAGACCAGAATAAGGTCTTCTCACAGTAGACGTAAAGGTTTTCTTGCAGAAGACCTGATGGTCGTCTGATAGAAGACGTGATGTTCTCACAGAAAACCTGATGATCTTCTCCTCTGATATAAGTCCTTATGGACTTCGTATTGGGACAGTTTAACAAATACCATTTGTGACGACATTAAAAAAGACAACTTGTTTAAATCCCATGCTCTCAGCTCTCAGACGCTCTCTCATCCGCCTCCTCTCACAAAAAATAACACTAGATTTTTTTCCATAATGAAATAAGCACACTGCCACTTCTACTACTCCAACTACTTCCACTGAAATGCGAGGTACTCAACATTTCCGTCAAAGAGTATTAATGAATATTCATGCAATTTTTTCACCTTTGTGTTTCTTGTTTTCTCAATTTCTTCCCCCCTTCTTCTTTGCAGTGACCACCGTTGAGCCGAATATGTACACAACTTGTATCCCGGTGGGTGGTGGCAACTACACTGCCGGCGGCGTCTACGCACCCACAACTATGGCCAATGCCACCACAGATACGCTGGCCTCTGGCTTCGAATCGGCGGGCTATGCTGCCTACTCCACAGCTTTGAGTGTCACCATAGCGATTGGCTGTAGTTTGCTCATCTTGAACGTTTTAATATTTGCCGGAGTTTATTATCAGCGCGACAAGACGCGCCTGGAAGTGAAGACCCTGCAAAAACAATATCAGCAACGCAGTATGCATCAACAAGTGCCCTCGTATCCACCGGATCCCATAAAGCATGCCCACTACCACATGGGACACTCGCAGAGTGCCAATGTTATTGTGGATGTGGAGAATCATGGAGATCAGGGTACCATTCTATTGACAGCCAGCGATGTTAAGCCACCGCCGCCACACATGTGCTCGAATACGGCCATGCAATTATCCCAGCAACAACAACAGCAGCAACAACAACAACAGCAGCAGCAGCAGCAACAAATGTCCAGCGGGCCGATGGGCATGAACACTGGCAGTGTGGGTGGAGGCATCAATTCCAATTTATGCAGTGCCAAACAAGCAATGGACATTAACTCTGCTGGTGGCCTAATGGGATCGGGAATTATTAATAATGTTACCTACAGCACAACAACCAAACAGCAACAGCAACAACAACAACAGCAGCAGCAACAACAACAGCAATTACATGCCCAACAACAACAGCAGCAGCAGTTGGCTGCCCAGCGCGAACATTTACAAATCAAAGGCATGAACTCCGGCCCAGTTAATGTTGGGAGTGGTGGTAATCCTGCCGGGGCCATGACCCTCCAGTCCGGCTCCACTCAGACCTTTGGTCGCCAACCAACCAACACCGTCTCCGTAGCCAGTAATAACGGCAACAGCATGAATACCGCCTCAAATATTTCATACAATCCCGGCATGATGACACTGCCAAAAGCTGGCACTTTGCATCATGCTAGCTCCATAAATTATGGACGCAACCCTGGTGGAGGTGGCGGAGGTGGGGGTGGTGGTAATGGCACCATGACACTGGCCAGCAGTAGTATTAGTAATGCCTTGCTGGATGGCCGTAGCAATATGTTGATGACCAGTGCGGGCAGTGGCTCGGGAGGTGATTGCATGACATTGCCAAGAAATTTGTCCATGTCATCACGTCACAATCCATCTTCAGGTGAGTAAAAGTTTTGTTGTTATTGTTGTTTTTCATTTTTTGCTATTCCATGCATGAATTATTCTTGAGAATTTTCCAATATAACGGGATTTTTTTTCGAAAAAAAGAAAAATAATTATGGAGATGAAATTCAAAGTTTGAGGAGAAAACAGTGGAAAAATAAGGAAAATGTATGAAAATCTGGATCGATAACAAAAAAATCGATAACAAAATTTTGTACAGAAAAGATGTCTGACAACCATGTCCTTTACGAAACAACAGTTTTTCGATCGAAATATTCGAAATACTTGAGAGTTCGATAACAACTTTTCTATTCAAACCCGTTAACAACAAGTTTCCCTATAGAAAACCTGTTCGATAACAAGAAAACATATTCGATAACAAGTTTTCCTATAGAAAACTTGTTCGATAACCAGTTTTCCTATAGAAAACTTGTTCGATAACAAGTTTTCCTACAGAAATCTTGTTCGATAACAAGTTTTCCTATAGAAAACTTGTTCGATAACAAGTTTTCCTATAGAAATCTTGTTCGATAACAAGTTTTCCTATAGAAAACTTGTTCGATAACAAGTTTACCTATAGAAAAGTTGTTCGATAACAAGTTTTCCTATAGAAAAGTTGTTCGATAACAAGTTTTCCTATAGAAAAGTTGTTCGATAACAAGTTTTCCTATAGAAAAGTTGTTCGATAACAAATTTTCCTATAGAAAAGTTGTTCGATAACAAGTTTTCCTATAGAAAAGTTGTTCGATAACAAGTTTTCCTATAGAAAAGTTGTTCGATAACAAGTTTTCCTATAGAAAAGTTGTTCGATAACAAGTTTTCCTATAGAAAAGTTGTTCGATAACAAGTTTTCCTATAGAAAAGTTGTTCGATAACAAGTTTTCCTATAGAAAAGTTGTTCGATAACAAGTTTTCCTATAGGAAAGTTGTTCGATAACAAGTTTTTCTATAGAAAACTTATTCGATAACAGGTTTTTCTATAGAAAACTTGTTCGATAACAGTTTTTTCTATAGAAAAATTGATCGATAACAAGTTTTTCTATAGAAAACTTGTTTTTCTATAGAAAACTATAGAAAAGTTGTTCGATAACAAGTTTTCCTATAGAAAAGTTGTTCGATAACAAGTTTTCCTATAGAAAAGTTGTTCGATAACAAGTTTTCCTATAGAAAAGTTGTTCGATAACAAGTTTTCCTATAGAAAACTTATTCAATGACAAGGTTTTCAATAGAAAACTTATTCGAAAACTTATTTTTCTACAGGAAGCTTTTCCGATAACAAGTTTTTCTATACAAAACTTGTTCGATAACAGGTTTTTCTGTTAAAACCTTGTTCGATAACAAGTTTTTCTATTGAAAACTTGTTCGATAACAATCGATTTTAGAAAAACTTCCTCGATAACAAGTTTATCTGTCTAAAACAGGTTCGATAACAAACACTTGACTAGAAAATATATTTGATATCAAGGTTTCCTATACGAAACTCTTTCGATTATTAAAATTCGTTCGATAACATGATTTTCTATAAAAAAAAATCCCAATAGCTGGATTTCTCCCCGAGTAAACCTTCACCAACCAAAAACCACCAACGGAAGTAGTTGATGGGAGAAAACTGAATGACTTCAGCCTGGTTTGATATGGGTGTACATTACACGTCAAACATGTTGCCATTCAGGAAATCCATTGTATCTCACATTGAGCTACACAAGAAGCGAGAAAGGAAGAAGATAGGAAGAAGATAGGAAGAAGATAGGTAACAATATTTTAATAGTCAAAAGTTAATAACTCAAGGATGGAGAGACGGAATGATCGAGAATGAATGGCGCATTTTTGGGATATACCCACAATTGCGGATTTTTTTACAAAATATTTTTGAGGTCTATCAATAAACGTGAAATGTGTAACAATAGAGTGTGGGTATGTGAAGAAGAAAGTAGCTGATATAAATGAAGAGAGAGAGAGAGAGAGAGAGAGAGAGAGAGCGAGGGAGAGGCAATGCTTGTTTAATGTTAAAAAATAGAAAGGGTTTTGATTTCACTTCCTTTCATACCAACAAACTATGCGTCGTAGAGTTCAAACAAGAAACTTAAATGGCATTTTAATGTTAGTAAAATTAAAAGTTTTTATTTAGACATACACACGCACTCAGGAAACACTACATGGACTACATGAATAAATGACGAAAAAAAAACAGCAAAAATAATTAATTAAAAACTTTCAGCAATAACATTAGCATTGTGTGTGTTCGCACACATGCTACCCATGTTTTAGATGGATTTGCTGTAAACAACAGCAAAAGCAACTCCAACCAAAGTTCTAGTGCTTAATGCGTACGTCCTTTGGAGGGATTTGAAGGAAAGGAATATTCTAAGGGGGTTTGCAGGTGGTTTTAAAATTAGTCCTAATTCTAAGGAGTAATTCCGGTATTAAAAGGTTTCGAAAACTATGAAAATGGCGCATTTTTGGGACATATCCACAATTGTGGCTTTTTTTTAAATATTTTTGAGGTCTATCAATTAACGTGGATTTTTTTTTTAAATAATTTTGAGGTCTCTCATTAAACGTGGATTTTTAAAAAAATATTTTTGAGGTCTATCAATAAAAGTGGATTTTTAAAAAAATATTTTTGGGGTCTATCAATAAACGTGGGCTTTTAAAAATATTTTTGAGGTCTATTAACAAACGTGGATTTTTTAAAAAAATATTTTTGAGGTCTATCAATAAACGTGGATTTTTTAAAAAAATATTTTTGAGGTCTATCAATAAACGTGGATTTTTTAAAAAAATATTTTTGAGGTCTATCAATAAACCTGGATTTTAAAAAAAGGTTTTTGACGTCTATTAACAAATGTGGATTTTAAAAAAAGGTTTTTGACGTCTATTAACAAATGTGGATTTTAAAAAAAAAATATTTTTGAGGTCTATCAATAAACGTGGATTTTTAAAAAAATATTTTAAGGTCTATCAATAAACGCGAATTTTTTAAAAAAATTTTTTGAGGTCTATCAATAAACGCGGATTTTTTACAAATTATTTTTGAGGTCTACCAATAAACGAAAAAAAATAAAAATATATTTTTTTAAAAATATCCACGTTTATTGAAGGACCTCAAAAATATTTTTTAAAAATATCCACGTTTATTGAAGGACCTCAAAAATATTTTTTTAAAAATTCCACGTTTATTGAAGGACCTCAAAAATATTTTTAAAAATTCCACGTTTATTGAAGGACCTCAAAAATATTTTTAATAAATTCCACGTTTATTGAAGGACCTCAAAAATATTTTTTTAAAAATTCCACGTAATGGAGTGTTGTAACGGTAGCCGATTGTGGTTTTCCAGCCAAATGTAAAAACTTAACTAACATTTTTTCAGGAAAATTCTCACCTTAATTCTTTTGCAAGCTTGTGAACAATATAATGAGCTGTCACTGGAGTAATTTTAACAGCTGTCTGTCGAGTGGCTTAGAAATGACAGCAGTCTGAAGTTGGTCGCAGTTTTTTCATCTCAACTTGTATAAATGTGAATTTTTTATAAAATATTTTTGAGTCCTATTAATAAATGTGGATTTTTTAAAAAAAAATATTTTTGAGGTCTATCGATAAATGTCGATTAAAAAAAAACATTTTTTTGGGTTTATCCCTAATTGTGGATTTTTAAAAAAATATGGATTTTTTAAAAATATTTTTAAAATCCTTCATTTAACGCGGATTTAAAAAAAATATTTTTTAGGTCTATTAATATACGTGATTTTTTTTAAAAAATATTTTTGAAATCCATCACTTAACGGGGATTTACAAAAAATATTTTTGAGTTCTCTCTATAAACAAGAGGTTTTAAAAATATATATTTTTGAGGTCAATCAATAAAAGTGGATTTAAAAAAAATATGTTTGTGGCCATTGCCTTAGTTATTCCACTAACTATTTACTAGCTATGACGTTACGACTTTATTCAAATGCAATTTTCTAAATTAAGCACAATATTGATGATTTTTTTTCTGTTTAAATAATCGCATTATTCCACATCCGCAACATCTACATATGTATCTATAATAATAATATTAATCCCACCACTTTGAATGTTATACTATTTTGGTTTTCAATACGAAACCAAAATCGAAAAAAAATCTCAAAAAAAATCCAATACTCTAATGTGGCGTAAAATGCAAATTTTATTGTGTCCGGCAGCAATGGTGTATACTTTGTGCGGAATATTAGAATAGCATTACAAATATTACCAAAAAAAAATAAATAAATAAAATATAAACAAAGTACACACACTCAGAGATTGCGATATAAACACACGCATACACTCACACTCACTCCCAAAATAGATCCAATAACATTAGCTTGAAATGATTAAGGAACAACCAAAAGAAAGAATGAAAAGAAAAATGAAAACGGATGTAAAGTAAATGGTTCTTTCATGTTTTTAAAATAGCCTTCCCCTCCTGCCCCTGACATCCTCCGCACTTTCAAAAAACGACCCAACGAATGAAAAAAAACTGGAAATCGCCTTTTCTTTGTGTAAACGCCTTCTCTTTACAAAAGAAAAGCGATTTGGCTTTTCTTTTGCCCCTGCCAGCAAAGTAACCAAAACGAAAAGAAGAAAAAACCATGGAACTTCATAGATCGAGAGAGAACAGAAAATAGAAGGACGATACAACAGGAAGTCGTTCCTTTTTCTTGCTATTAAAGGCCAGATATACCACTCTCCACAAAGCAAAAGCCAATCTTCGCTTCAGAATAAAATCAAAAGAAGTCTAGGCAAAAAACTTGTTTGTAAAATGGCTGAAAATAATGAAAATGAAAAATCAACTCGTTTTTCGCCGGATATGATGAAATTGTATGGAAAAAAACACTGATTGTCCTGATGATGGAGGATAATATTACAAAGGATTGACCAGATAATGGTACGATAATTTGATATGAATGGAGGGGAAGAAGATAGGTAACAATATTTTAATAGTCAAAAGTTAATAACTCAAGGATGGAGAGACG